TACTTTTGGCATCTGGACAAGAAACATGAAACACCGAGGAACAAAATGCACCACCTCCAAGACGATACTGTGAAGCACCATAAACATAATTCAATAACATGAATCCAATCTCGACACCAACTCCCCCCAGCGAGGGCACAAACCAAAGCCTAGACCAACCACAACATTACGAGGGAAATGTGCAGCTTATGGAAGCCCGCTTTTTGCAGCTGTGCTCGTCCATCCGGGCGCTGTACCGGTCTGTCCAGGAACTCCGCGTGCATATCACGGAGCAGCGCGTGGGAAATGGCGACAACGAGAACGATGATACTTTGGTCTTCCTGCAGGCGATCTGCGAGAACCAACAGGTCCTCAAAAAACAGCGCATTGAACTGGGCGCAATCGTCGAGAGGATGCAGAGGCTAAACGCTGATACGAACCTACCAGACGATATCCGCATCATGGTTTTCGACGTCGACGAAGAGAACCAACGAGAGCAGCACCACGACGCAAGAGAGGGCGAGAGAAACAGCCGTGGAGGCACTGGGTTATATTTGTGAGAAATTTATCGAATGGAAATAAATTGAAACAGAATGGAACGAAGTGTGAAGGCACGACACTGTTTATCGATTCAGACAGGGATCCGATTTTCTATTGGCGTGCTGTTTTGCAGCCAAACAATCAACCTCTGTATTCTATTCTACGTCTGCTTCTCCTTAAATAGAGGGAGTAAAATCTGATGCAACTCGTGAGAAATAGACTCCTCGGAAATCATGATGCTTTCTGAACTGACAAGACACTTTACAGTATCTCCCAGCGGGATCGTTCCTCGTTCAAGGCGTCCTCGAGTCTGTTATTTGTTGCACCCTCTTTGGATGCGACGTTGGTAGGGTGATCAGAGTCCGTGAAAACAGTGCAGAAAACAATATATATCGCAAGATCGCTAACTGCGAACCTCTTTTCGTTCTATAGTTAAGCGGGGAGGGTTTGGTGTTTCTCATGGCATGTTGACATAACAAGACGAAGGAACAAAACTGTAAAATTGGACGTTTTGACTGGAGCTGCGTTGTATATTGAATCAGATTGAGATCATGAGAAACATTCATATTGCGATCAATGAAAAGAAAAGTGAAGCTATTGGCTTGTTAATAGCCAATCGAATACCGAAGCGAACAAGGCTGCACAGGTTTTCCGAGTTCACTACTATCAACAAAAATCTTAATAAAAATTCTAGTACTGTGACGACTAACAGCACCCACCTTTATATCGGTAATTGGACTGGACTCATACATGAGGCAACGTAAACAAATCAATGACTAGACAATTGAAGAGAGCTATCGATTGATACCACTTACACTAGAAAAGGTTGAGTGGAAGTGCTAGAATCCCATGGTCGGTTGCTCCCAACCGTGTTTTTTCGATAGAATGAAAAGAACAGTTTCAGCACGCTAAATCAGCACGCTATATCAGCACGCTAAATTAGCACGCTGTATCAGCACACTGTATCAGCACGCTGGAGGCAGGTAAAGGTCAAGACACTAGGCTCCAGTACAATTTTGTACCCGCAGACAAAACCCTTCTATTTTGAACAAAAGCTGCAGTGAACTACTACCTTGATTCACAATTTTCTACAGGATTTTGTGTACAGCTTTGTACTAGAATCCATCCAAAACAGCAAATCTTGCTTCTTGTTTCCTCCCCCAGCTGAGCAGGTGTTGGCCAGCAGGCGCGACACGGTGTGGGGCTGGTACTAATCCTGCGTAGGCCTACCTAGCATAGTTGGCAACTTCTTCAAATCGAAGTTGTCAACTTTATATTGAAGTTCATAACTTTGGTTTAATGCTTTAAGTCTTAACTGGAGAGCACTTGCGCACTCGTGAGCCCAGTTTCGATTGTTACAAAACGCGTAGTAACAAGAAGATAATACAAGGTATCATACAAGGAACGAAACCCAATGAGGGTGGTGTAACAGGTCCAGAATCAGTAAAAAATTTTCATGGCTCGACAAAGAGAACAATACACTTCATCTGGGKTCCGGATTTCAGCATCTTGTCTTTAGTGCCACATGCAACTCTAAAACTCTTCCTGACCAATCTCAGAACCCTTTTTTGCTCACTCACTTTTTCCATCACTTACAGTAGTAGTAGTTACAGTGCTATTTCAAATGAATCAGCCAATCAATTTTGCAACTTCATCCAGATCCACTTGTTCTTGTTTATTGCAATGAATTCTTCTTTATTCTGGTAGTGTAGGTAGTATGTGTGTGGTAGGGAAGAAGAGCTGCTTCTTACAGCTCTCCTGTCACCCTGTCTGACTGCTGGAGGGTGAGACAGGCCATCAGTTGAAGAATAATAGAGTGTTAGCTCCAGTTAGTA